TGACCCGAAAGAGAATATTGCATACGTTGCAGGGAGATCAGCATGCAACTTTCATCTCCTTTGCCGTAATAGCGGCTCAGGTGCAGGAATAATATCGTGTACATTCGCGTTTGAGGTTAGAAAATATTTCCGACCGTGGAATCCTTCCTTCGCTTCTGAGAATTATAACCAACACACGGTTGATCGATTTAATGCAAAATTTCACGCGTGCCCCAGGCTATTTTCTTATAATTGAATATCAAAATGCACTGACACGAGACAAAAAATGGTGCATGAATGTCTCGTATCTTTTTTAGTTCTCACCCTTTGTTTTCCTATAAAATGGCCTTCGTTAATTATTTATTAATAATTGTTCATTTATAACGACACATAAAACGACGCCGTTTGACAACTCTCCAGAAGAGTCTGTATCGTAATCTAGTGTCATTATTAATTTTTACATTTTTATAACAGATTTAAAAAAAGATCTTTTTACATTTTGAGGTTATGCTCGAAGGGCGGAGTTCCATTCTCATCGTCTCCTCTCGGAACGGTTAACGATGATTTCGTCGTCGTCCTCGCACCCTTTGGGGTCTAAAACTTAAACGAGCGGCGGGTGACGTCACGTCCGGTCTGCGGGCGAGAATGGAATCAAATGGAACGGAGGGTTACTAAATAACAATGGTAAATTCGTACGCGCCCGGTTCTTACTTCCGGTCCTGACTCGAACCGCCCGTAAGTATGCGAACGCCTCTTTGATCGCACAAATGCACCGCATATGCGAGCACTTGCTCCCCTCGTCTCTCGGGTACACGTAAGTGCACGGAGAGTAAGTGCACTCTTGCGTCGATGCACTTGGCCCTCGATCGCACCAAGTGCATGCGGACCACCTCGGGTTTAATGCAATCAATTTTCGGATCCCGCGGCGACACAATCGCGGATGATTTCCGGAATTTAATCCCTCGAGATTTACAAATCTAATGCCCGACGAATTAAATGCTTCTCGTGTTTCCGTGTTTAATGCCGGGAGTATACTAAAGCAATAGACGCAGATTGGGAGATTAACATTTTTCAGTTCGCATCGAGCGGGGAAGATTAAAGATTTGAATTTTTGTCCCCACCTTTAAAATTCATAAGGCACGTTCCCGAATATAGGAGGTTATTGAACATTTTAAATTCACCAGAAGTGAATTTTATTGTTTCTTTTTATAATTTATGGTAGCTTCGTTTGTATCTTTCAATAATTTCCGAAGTAGTGGCTTAAAGGTTTCCCTGTCATTTTTACGTTCTTACATGCTTTGGTATTAACTATTTAAGGAGAGACAATTCGGTATTACGAAATACAAATAATATGTGCGCAAGAAGAGGAGGGCTCCTTGTTTCGCGAGAGTATTTCAGAAATGCACGTTTTTTACGGGGAAACTCGAAAAGGGAAGTGGACGAGGCTTTACCGAAATAAAGTTGCCGGAGTTGCACCTGGCTACGGTCCAGAGATTCATTTTTCTATGTTTATACGACGTCTGGGTGGTAACGATCGAGCGGAATCGTTGAATAATTTATAAATGCATTTAGAATAATCTCACAATTCTCCGTAGAGAGTTCGTAATGATGCGGCAGAAAATAAGATTTCTGTGCATCTTCCTTCTTATTTTTTTTTGCCGATAGGAAACGATTTCCATGTACTTTTCATGTCCCTGGACTGCATAATTGTACCTTCAGAATAAACATCTTAATGGTACTGTGAATTCTGTTAATTTAACCATGCCTTGCCTTTAACATCTATTTACATAAAAAAGACAGAATTCAGGATTTAATGTTTCAAAATGAGTTCATCGGTTATTGCGGTTACTTCATCAGTGATACTATAAATATTTATGAATTTTGACGGTAATATCGAATTATAACACTTGAAACAATTACGCCGCCACTGTTTATACGTGCATCGGCATTTGCGTGCAAGGGAGTCATTTTTATTCAATCGGTATTATCGATAGGCTCCGCGTCATATTTTCCATCAGATTTTTGCAAGCAATTAATGTAATTAAATTAATTCTCGCGGTAATTCGTCGATTAATCGTTGAAATGAGTGTCTGAACTGTATCGCGGATTCCCCCCGCATTCGGAGCACGCGAAATTCCGCGCGCGGAATAATTAATCGGTAATAACGGCCGTCGACGTTTGTAAATGTTCATCTTTGTGAACGCTTTTGACGGGGAGCCCACGGAATCGGGTTTCCCCGTCGAATTCGTACTCTAAAGTAATTAGATCAACATTAATTGATGGGAGCAAGGGTATTTGTTTATGAGAGATGAATCGACGCAGATAGTGGCGTTATTAATTCCGTCCGCGGGTCCTCGCGCAAACCGTCGCGGCCTAAACGAGCGGCAAATTATAATTATTAATGCTTATTTGCGGGAGCTTTTAAATCCACGGAAGTAGGCAATACTTCATCTTGTTTTTCCTACGACCTCCTCTTCATGTGTGCGATTCGCGTACTTTCCGTTCTCCGCCATAAGTTGCATCGTGCGGCCATTTGCACCTACGCGAGAATTTTTCATCCAGGCCACCTCGGTGGTCCCTTCTCATAATTCTATCATTTTATTCGCTTACTCTCTCTCCCTCCCTCTTCCCGCAGCATGCATTTTACAGTGATTTACAAGTATCAAGACCTCTAGGTAAACATAAATTCATAAATAAAAAGTGCCAAGTTAATCCAGCCTATCATCTGCGTCTAGCAGAAAAAATCATAAAAATATATGCAACGCTACATTGAATGGAGTAATTTTCACAAAATTTTGTTGCAATTAAATGGTGGGCGAGAAAGAGTATTCCGACGATGCGACCCTTTTTTATCTTTAGGATGAATGGAATACGCCCCTAAGGGTATCAAAGAGCTTACATCAAAAGCATCACGTATCGGATTCATTAATGGACACATTGTGCCAACTTCCATGTCTATTGACAAACATTTTCCCTTTTTTTTTTCAATTTCTGACGGGCCCGCAAGAGGTAGAATTCTGGTACCAGGTAGACCCAATTCATGTCGACAATTGCGATAACGACAGATGCGAGTGAATTAGCGATGGGTGCGCGACCGGAACGAGCGCGCATGTCGCACCTGCGCCCGAACGGAAGTTCCGCTCGGGCAATATGGCATCGTGTTACTATGAAAAGACCCACGGTTATGGTTACGTCGAGCTGTGGTCGTCCTCGCCCCGTCTACTTTCCTGAAACGGGATTGTTCGTTCCCCGCTGCAACAATGATACCCCTCTGCTTTTTAACAAAAAGCTTCCCCAGCCTCGCGTGCGTCTCGAAAATTGGTCGACTGCAAGTTGTCATTAAAAAAACGTCCACTAATAAAAACGAAACCTTGCAGTACTGTAATTATAGAAACTTGTTTGAAAATAATAATCTCATAGGAGGTAAAAAGAAATAAAAATAAAATACACATAAGCGGTGACGATACATCGGCTTCGTCCGATTAATGTTTGTACTTTTCAGAGTACTCGATTGAATGATCGCAATGTATTTTGGCACGTATGTAGGTGCGCATCGGTAGGGTCAATTGATGACCATCAAATGGGAGTTTATGTCTAGGAGGAAATGGCGATTTTGTTTTTTATGGCCGTTTGAAAGTTGGAGTGTCTAAAATTCCCCATGGCTCTGGAGGCATCGGGAAATGCAATCAAGTCACATTAAATTACATTCTCCGGTCTATATTTCATAGGGTCTCTCAACCCGCCAAGGAATTGTTCAATATGCGCCATGACTCAATATATACCGAAACTTGGAAGGTTCTGTTAGCAATTTAAGCAGTCATTACCTTCGAAGTTGTTGGCTGCCTTAAGGAACACCATTTAAACCCGCTAAGTTATTAGCCAAGTTAGAAGCTCAAGGTCTCGGAGAGTTGATTGTACGATCGAGCTTCAACATACGATTATGGAGACATCCGTGTCAGGGCACTCGTTAAAGGGAACGTTCTCATAAATATGTTACGGCCACCCGCAAACGAAGAACCCATCATCGCTCGACTGGGTTACGCTGAGCTCAAAATTAAATCTAATCCCTTTAGTAACATTTATCCGGGATAAAGCGTTAAGCCTCCGGAGAAAGCTAGGAGTCCTGGATCAGTGAAAATGATTAAAGCAACCGTTACCACCTGAAAATATAAAAATGTGATGCGCTTGGGGTCGGAATTATCGATCCCAATTGAACCTCTAAATCCTCCATTCTTTTCATCATTGTTTGCCGATTTAATTTAAGTCCCATTTGGTTTGCTAAGAACTTCAAAGTTCATTTTTCTCGTTAGAACCCCAAAACTCTTGGAACGTTTCAATTGAATTGACGCTTGAAGAATCTCAAAATAGACGAAATCCAATTTTTACAAGTTACGTCTGAAAACGTTCACCCTACTAGGCAATGGTGGAAGATGAAGCGAAACCAATTGGGGAATGTATTAGAAACGTGAGTTCATTGCATTATATCGCCGATAAAAAGTAGAATTTTAAATATGTAAAATTTAACATTGCAATTTCTTAATTATTTGCACAAAACTGTATTCCCAGATTCCTGAGATTAACCAAGTCTCGAATTAACGCTAATGTCTGTCCTAGAAAAATGAACTTAATGCGCATTCAAGGTTGACATAAGACTGATTTCATTAAAACCTTCCAATCTTAACATCCCCTTTTATCCTTCAAATCTTGACGTGCATCTATGCGGTGTTATGAGGTAAAATCGTCCGACTTGGGATCACGTCCAGTTTTTAGAGGCCTACAGTTTTCGGTCCATTTTCCAATTGCGATGAACAATGAAGGAGTTAATTGAAGCGGTTCATATTCCGTACATAATCCCACCATTCTGGTCTTCTATCGAGTCCTGGGAGACTTCGGCAGTCTCCAACCACGACATAAGACAATGACCGCATTCGTGTCAAGGCTCCAGCTCAAACGGAACCGTTCCCATAATTACCCGTGCAATCGACCAAGACCTGCCTAACACCTCCTCTTCTCGGTTCCAGGACCCGACAGCACCGATGCTTTAATAAAAAGCCCCGACTCATCGGAATGGATCCCTCGAGGATGTGGCGAACGGCGTTGATCGCCCTTATTTCGCTGGCCACGAGCTCGACGGCCATCGTCCTGCCCCACGACGTTTACCCCGGCTTCAAAGTGACCCAGTTCCATGGAGGAGGCTGTTCCAACTTCCGGCTTCTGGAGACCGGCTTCTCGAAGTACTTCACCCTCCTGGAGGACGGCGTCCTGATGACGACGTCCGATCTGACCCCTTTAATCGACAAGCCCGTCAACCTCATCGTCCTGGAAGAGCTGGCGAACACCACCCGGACCCACGACATCAAGCTCTACGTCATCAACCGGCGTAGCATGCTGACATTTTCCCATGCCCATCTGGGGGAGGGGGAGGTGCCCGAAAATGCTCCTGCTGGGACCGTCGTTGAAGGGTTTCCCGTTCTTCACGTGCGAGGAAACTTCCCGGTCCACTATTCGATCGCTACGGAGCCCACCGAAGAGCGAGTCTTCGCGCTCAAGGAGTTTTCCACCCAGAGGATGGGATTTAATCTCACCTTAAAGAACCATAGAGAGATCGTGAGGGTGGTCACGGCTAGGCCACTGGATAGGGAGCTGAAGGACTCCTACGTCGTGGTGGTTCACGCCACCGATGGGGATTTCATTAGCGAGTCGAAGATCTCTGGACTGGTAAGTTCGAGAGTAGCCTATATTCAATTGGAAGCCGTCATTGGAGTCTGGGGACTGATGAATATTAATGGCTAACACTTGGGGTGGTTTCCCCGTAGCGACTAGAATCATCGAGTTACCTGTTATCGGGTTAAGCTGCGAAGGGAATTATGGAGACCGTGTTTCCCGTGGAAGTAAAAAATGTATAGTGCATTTTAGAGGAGTTTTGTGGAATTCTCGTATTTTTGCCAAGTATCTCGAGATGTTATAGTTTTTTAAACGGTCGTCGTTATTCTACCGAGGAATTATTGGTTTTCAGGTGCATATTTTAGACGAGAACGACAACGAGCCGATTTTCGAGAAAGAGGAGTACGAATTCGAGATTAGGCCTCTGGTACCAGGTCCCGAGGTTCCCAAGGACGCGCCTCCCCAGTGGAAGATGTTCTCCGCGATAGGCAAGGTTGTGGCAAAGGATTTGGACGGGGACAAGGTCTCCTACAGCCTAGTCACTCCCAGCAATATGGTGATCGTGGTGCCTCAAACTGGAGAGCTCCTCTTGGTTGGCGAACCTGACCTTGATCTTGCCGAAGACACCGAGTACGAGGTCGCGGTGGAGGCCCACGACCTTAGGTTGTCCAGCAGAACTAGTCCTAAACCTGCCAGGGTTCTCTTCAGGTTCCTCACCTCTCAGATCGAGGAAGTTCCAGAGGTCCACAGGATCGAGAAGAGGCGAGTCACCAGAGCGGTGAGGCCTACCAAGAAGGTCGACTTTACGGAAGCCGAGGGTGACACCGAGGGCAAGATCGTCTTCAACCTCGAAAAGGACTCCCCTACGGAGACCTACAAAATCAGGGACGAAAACGAATGGGTCACTGTTCTGACGAATGGGTCCGTCAAAGTCGCCAAAAAGTGGGACTACGAGGAACTCGGCCCGGAGAAGACTATCGATTTCTGGGTCATCATCACTAACGTGGGGCAAGGTATAAAAGGATGAAGGTTTTCTCTTTTTTTGTTGTTAAATATTTTCAGAGTTTTTATATATATTTTTTTGTACGCGAGGTCCACTCGGCTCGCTCTATGGTTGGAGATTTCAATGAGTGGTCGAATATTTCTTTATATGCGGTGCACGTTTTGTCCTTTGTTTTGGTGAGTCTGTAAGAAGTATTAATGCCGAAGTATTATTCTCAGATCGAATCTTGGATTTTTTCATTTTTTTTTCTTGCCATCAGTTTCAGTCTTGTTGTCACGAGATCGTTATGAAACAAAGAGGGGTGTAATGAGAAGTGCAATCAGAGCACGTGTTAGTTAAATGCCATGTTTATCAATGCCGAGACATTGCATTTTAAATTGGAAAGCACGGTATATTTGGGAGTGTCACCAAAATTGCATTTGTAATGATTTTATGCTGTTCGTTTAGACCTTTAGCTTGACGGTACGGTGTGTAATATTAATTTTAAATTTATTTACATCTCGGTTTGTGTGTTTGATATAATTCATTGCACAACAATGCTCACCTTCCCACCTCTCAACGCGGCTTCTGTCGATTCGGAGTGAAATTTACGATGTCTGATTTTGAAAATGCGTTTTCCATCCGCGCAGTTTTTATTTACGACGCCTCTTTTGTTTGTTGTTCTTGGTTGTTTTGTCGGACCTTCCAAGCTGAGTGTTCGCGTTATCCTCATGGCGTTCCATGCCTTTTCGACAACGGTACATATGAATATGTAATTCAATCATTGCTTGGTTCGCTTTTTTGCAGTTGGCTTTTGGCCTCGTTCGGTGGGCTTTTTGGTAGCGGGTCAAAATTACCTGCAGAGAGGCAAACATTTTTTGATTAAATAGAGAGATGCCGAATTTTCTCGCGGCAGCATATGCATTTAATTTCGATGTAAATAAACGGTATTATTTAATTAACGCGAGTTAAAAGTCCTTGAAAATAATGAAATTACTGCATACCGAAAGTATTAATTTTTGCGATTTCAATACAACGAGGAAATTATTTGTTGACTCTCTTCATATGTGTCAATTAATGAACCATTCTACATGACATTGAAGCTCCATCTTGGAAAGAAAAAGAAAATTTTAGTCCGGCATTTTAAGTCGTTGAGTTACTTAACAAAAGCTCCAATAGATCTGCCAAGAGGCAATACTCTATAAACAAATCTATATTGTTTTGTATTATAGCCCACTAATCGCTACGTTCTCTTTTTCAAATCATTCCGCTTCCGCTTCTGCAGGGATTCAGTGTAAGTAACAAATCAGTGATCACACTCTTGACATTCTACTTTCTGGTATATCCGAGGAGCTTTTCGTGCTTTCGCAGCAGCTATTTCGAAAAAAGTACCTAATTAAGACGTGGATTTTAATTTTTCCTCCTTTCGCCGTGCACTTGCAGACACGCAAATTTAATCACTCGCACGATATTAACGATAAAACGCTTTAACTATTTTACTCTCGAATTCACCATGGGACTTCGGCATCTAATTTATTCTGGCTCGCTTCAGATACCGACAATCAACGTGTCATAATCAACGTCAAAGACGTGAACGATGAACAGCCATACTTCATCAATCGGCCGCTGCCCATGCAAGCAGTGGTTCAGCTGAACGCACCGCCGAACACTCACGTGTTCACTCTTCAAGCAAGAGATCCTGACACGGACCACAACATACACTACTACATAATTCGCGATCGAAGTACGTAGTTGCTATAAACCATCATTCATGTCATTTTATTAATGAAACCATTTTTTTCCTCAATTTCATTCACAAAGCTAAACATGAATTCTATACTTAGCTCCAACGTGCGGTGCAATCAAAGTTACACCTTCAATGTATACTCCTTTTTATACAATATCATTGCATACACGCAGAAAAATATCTGACTGAATCGTTACAATTTTTCTTGGTTTAACCATATAATATGGTTATTATATATACAACGAAACATTTGGACGACACATCTGAATCCTTTCGTTACTGCTTTTTAGGTGTTCACGTTAAATATTGCGGCAGATCACACCAAATAGTAAAGTAATTTGGTACACTTAACCAAAGTATTCAGTTTATTGTCTAAAATATTTTATAAAATTGACAAAACAATTTAACCAAAACACTTTAGTTGATTGAAGCAAAGAAGTTTAGCCAAGTGAAGTAAAATTCGGTTTACTCGATCGGAACGTTTTTCGAAATGAATTAGATTCAGTCAAACACACGATTTTGTAAAATGAGTCAAAGTTTTGTTCTGCCGGGGTGTATGTACGTATTTGTTGTGTATAGATTCTATGAAGTTTTTGTAAACTACCCATGTAAGGTCCATTTTATTTGAACGAATGTTAAAGAGTAAGACGCTATTTATAGTTTATTTGATTATTTGTAAAATTTACAGCCGGGGGTCGCTTCGAGGTTGACGAAAGATCTGGGGTGGTTCGAACGCGCGGTACCGAGCTTTTCCAATTGGATATGGAGTACGTACTGTACGTCAAGGCAGAGGACCAAAATGGCCGCATCGACGAGAGGCGTTACCAATCGACCCCGGAAGAGAGGCTCTCCATTGTTGGCGGCAAACGTGCGCCGCAATTCTATTTGACGGCTTACGAGGCTGAAATCCCGGAAAACCAGAAAAAGGACTCAGAGTATGGACGCATTCATGAAACTCTTCCGTGCCTTTGCTCTTTCTTTTGCTCGAAGCATACTTTGCGATTTTCTTTGCTCCAGAATCTTACCTGCACAGTTCAAACCCTTTTACTAGCAAAAGCTGATTTAAGAAGAATGCTCCAAGTAAAAAGATTAGTTTACCGAAACAAATATATATTGTTGACATGTATATTGTTGCCTGAATCACATACAATTGCAAGAAGCAGTAATTTTGTAGAGAAGACAAATTCATGTCGTTTTGAGCGAATTTCGTCAACTCAATCGATTTCTTTGGACGTATTTGTTTGCAGGATTTTGTTGTCGCAATGTATACTTCTTTGAGTCAACTTTATTTTTTTTCGATGTAGGATTAATAAAAGCCTTACACGATTTTTACCCATTTTAGGAAAGTTGACATTATTGACGAAACCTTTGTCTTTCAGCATCATATCAGTAAAAGCGAAGTCGTTCGCAGATCGGGAGATTCGGTACACCCTGAAAGCTCAAGGCCAAGGTGCCGCTGGTACCTTCAATATTGGTTCCACTTCCGGTATCGTAAAACTGGCCAAAGAACTTGATTTCGAGGACCTCCGACAACCGCATATTTATTCGTTGATGGTGACTGCCACGGAGGACTCCGGAGGATTTTCAACATCGGTTGAGGTAATTCAAGAACCCCGCCATGTTGATCTCCATCTTCCTGACTCTGCGGTTAAGCGTGGCTTTATTTAAACAACGGTCTCACTTGGAATTAATAAAATTGCTACTAATGATGAGACCGGATTCGCTGTTCCTCTTTGGAAGTGTCCGGCATCACTTTAAGCTCAATGGGTGCTTATATTAGACTCTGTCCATCATCGCGTCACCTGACAGTCATTGTTCAATCTCAGATTAAGTGGAGGATTAGCACCGACAAGCGTTGAGTTCATGACAGGATGATTCCTAGATTGAGCCCGCTTTTTGATCGGAAGTGTCAATTCCTGTCCTCTTAGTTTTAGAAATTGGGATTAAGGAGTCATGATCATTTCCCTTGATGAATATACACGCGTCAGGTCGTTTACTGTGTGTTCGTTTTATGCTAATCCTGTTTCATTTTCATTTTGTAGTTGACGATCAAGGTGTCAGACGTGAACGACAATGCACCGAAATTTGAACTCCCGGATTATCAAGCTCACAACGTGGACGAGGACATTGCTCTTGGTACCAGTATCCTTAAGGTCAAGGCCACTGATGCCGATTCCGGGGCAAATGCAGAAATTGAATATCTCGTCTCCGACGATCACTTCAGCGTGGACTCTAACGGCATCATAGTTAACAACAAACAATTGGATGCCGACAACAACAACGCCTATTATGAATTCGATGTCACTGCCAAGGATAAAGGTGACTGCTTTCAATTCTTTGCGAAATTTTGAAAAGCGTATTTCTTAGATACTTTTACTTGAAGTGGAGTAAATGTATTTTCCCTCATCAAAGTTATTTAATCTGAAGTTGATCAACTAGGATGCAACTTGTGCCTATTTTTATAACCCATTGTCTACCGCCCGACTACATTTAACAGTCTAACATCGTTATGAATGAATTTGTTGCTCACCAGGTGTACCTTCGAAGACCGGCACAGCCACGGTTCGGATATACACGAAGAATAAAAACGACGAAGAACCGAAGTTTTCGCAGCAAGTGTACACCCCCAATGTGGACGAAAACGCTGGACCAAACACTCTGGTGACTACTGTTGTCGCGTCTGACAAAGACGGTGACAACGTCCGTTTCGGGTTCGTTGGGGGTAACACCTCTTCGGGGCAGTTTGTCATCGAAGAGATCACCGGAGTGATACGATTGCACAACAAAAACATATCATTGGACCGTGATAAATACGAACTCAATGTAACTGCCATGGACGACGGGGCTTGTTGTCCGAAAGGCACCGAGACAATTCACACCAGCACCGCCGTGGTGGTGGTTTTCATTACCGACGTCAACGACAACAAGCCTGTCTTCAAGGAATGCGGCACTTACAATCCTAAAGTCGAGGAGAGCGCTGCGAATGGAAGCCCTGTTATCAAGGTCCAGGCTACTGACGATGACAAAGGCGTGAATGGTCAAGTCAAGTACTCCATTGTCCAGCAGCCTAACCAGAAGGGTACCAAGTTCACCGTGGATGAGGAAACTGGTCAAGTGTCGACGAACAAGGTGAACGATCGAATTAAGTGTAATGTTTGTTCTTCAAGTGTAATGTAATTCTCCGTACTTTCTATTGCAAGCAGTATTTCTCGAAAAAAGTTATTAACAGTATTCAATAATATCTAATAATTTCCTTTAACCTAGATGTTTCATTTATTTTTTTTATTTTCGGTGGAAATGTATTTGGTATGACATCGTATATGTTTTGTGAAAATGGCCTCGGACATTATTTCTTGCCCAGTATGTTTGATTGTTCACTTTTAATTTTCCTCCCGGGGTAACGTCCTAAATCCAGGTTTTACTAGCGACTCAGGCATTTTTGAACATTCCAGGTGTTCGATCGAGAAGGCGACGACGGAAAGTTCGTCTCCGTCACCGTCAAAGCTACGGACCAGGGTGAACCCTCTCTCGAAGGTGTCTGCTCGTTCACCGTCGAGATCACCGACGTCAACGACAATCCTCCTTTGTTCGATCGCCAGGTACGTCCTCGCTCGTATTCGTCCACCATGACGTCTCCGTAGTTTCCTGAGAAGGAATCAGAATGTCACTAAAAAAGTCATAATCGACTCTCCCGCGTGAACGCAGAAATACGTGGAGAACGTGAAGCAAGACGCGAGCATAGGTACCAACATATTAAGGGTATCGGCATCCGACGAGGATGCTGATTACAATGGTGCTATTACGTATTCCCTGAGTGCGACGGACGACAACGCGACTTTGGAGTACTTCGAGATCCAGCAGGAGTCAGGCTGGATTGTTTTAAAGAAGGCCCTAGACGTGAGTATACCCCAACATATCCGATAGACCATTGATCTCTTACTAACGATATACCTATTACAGCAGTGTCGATCCCTGGTGCCTTAACTCGAAGTGCGAGGTAAAGCACTAGTTAATAAACATTAAATAAATCTAGACTCACGAGTTTGACGTTGAATGTCAATATCGCGGCTTGAATCGAAGGTGTCGTTGCCCATTGTTAACGTTCACCAGGCTCCTTGAACAGTTTCTCGGAGAGCGTTTTTGATAAATGCCGATCGTGTCCCAGGGATCGAATGCACTCACTGCGCCTTGTATTAAATACAACGAATTATACATATATATATATAAAACCTGAGTGTACACCTTCTTGCCGACGTTCTGTACATTTGCGTTGACTTACTCTCTCATGACACTCCAGATCCAAGTCCTTGAGTTGGCCAGTCGTGCGCTACTTTTACTAACTGCCTATTATAAATATTATATATATATTTACATATGTATATTATACATACGTTTGACCAACAGTAATATCGATTATTTCTCAGACACTGATATACTACATTGCAACGAGATGAGTTTCCTTTGTACGGCACTTGTATAGAGTTTTGTCATTCCCCATTGATATATGCACAATGCGTTCACTCTGGTAACTTAGCTACTGCCTGAACTTCCTCAAACGCTTTATATCACGTACATACGAATTACCTGAATCGATCGACCAATTCGGGCTCTTCCGCCTTTTGGATTAACCGACCTTTCCGCACTTTTCTCTGCCAACTACCAATGATAAGCCGCCGCCGCGGCCTCAACGGAAGTGGGCCTTCCTCCTGGGCAGCGAGCGAGCTGAACGTTAAATCGACTTTACCGTTCGGAACCCCTTTTTCGTTCTTTTCCTCCCAACTTTTTTCATTTTTTACGTCCCCTTCTCGTCCCCGCCTCCCTTTTGACTTTCATTTTTCCCTAGCGAAACTGTACATAGCTCCGATTTAACGATTCCTCTCCGCGAGCTCTCGATCTCTTATCGGTGTACTTATTGTTGCTTGCACTTGTCCGTTAACTCTGAGGTTCTCGTCGCGCCTTTCCGAATATAATTTCCGTGGACTCTGCGGGACTAAAAGGAGTTTCTAATTGCTTAATCGTTGAGAAAATGGCTGCTTGTCAGGGGCTTCGTTTACACAAACGAGATGATGTAGTTTAGTAGTTGCAGTATAATTGGAAGATGGTAATTAGTGGGAAAATGGAAGTTAACTTCACCGTTCTCATTTTTACGAAGTTTCTCTTTAATTCAGTTCTACCGAGATTCTCGTAAACGAGATTCTTTTAAAGTAACAACACTCCTGCAGTTTCAGATAGCGAGGCGGAAAAATGCCACTCTCGCAAATTATTCTGAGATGATCTTGTTATAATGGCTCCTAGATTGAAAACATAATTAACAATTCGTTTGCTAATGTGTTTGGCAATGTCAACTCTTCCAAAAGTTCCCTAAGATTCATTATTAGAGATTACGTTACATTATTGAATATATCGGATTATACCGATTAATGATTATTAAAAGTTATTCAAGTTTCTGCAAATCACGTTTTAATTAGTCTACATATTAAATCGTGCAGTTTTGCCGTTCGGTCTAAAGGCGGGGTATTTCGAGCTTCCTCTGGAGAATGGATCGGGTTTTTAAAAGAAATCAGAATTAAACTGTATATATAAATGATTTCGGAAAATATACCGATGGAAAGGAAGGAGGAAAGTGCTCAGAAAGTCTAGAGTTAACGGGAGTTAACGATCGAGGGCCCTTATTAAACCCTTCCCATTTCGGTTGTCACTTTTTTCTGTGGTCTCTCCTCCCGGTTTTCTTTCGGTTCCTCGTTCTGACTTTCCTTTCGATGTCCCGAACGATAAACGACGAAAGAAGGAGAGAAGCGACAAAAAGCCACTAATCTTATGTCCTCGTTAAGTACTAATGTGAATGTCTTTTCAAAAGGGAAGTGATGCTTTTTTCAACTTCCAGGAGCAGGTGGGAACGACATTTTTTGAGCCCCACGTACGGTGTACTGCAGATCCTCTGCGCGTTTTCCGGTGCATCAGACATAAACGATGTTTTGAATTGTGCTTGCAGATTTTTATATGAATGTGTTTTTTGATTCCCTTACAGGAACGGATCTCGCTCTCGCTGTCGCTCCTCGTTCTCACTGTCCCTCTTTGTCTCTCTGTCTCTCTCTACTTCGCTCTCTACCTTCGAAAACCTCCCGCCTCCACCTGGGAACTTTCCCCCCTCTTGCTTGCCTCGGAACTCCCGATTATTTTGGTCGATCCCTTTAATCTCTGCCGTGGTTTCCTTTCATAGACAGAAAATGATCAATTTTCTTTCAATTTCCCACCGGATCTCGCGAGCCTTGCGTTGCTCCTAGCTGCATCCCTTTGTTAACTTTCTACCTCGTCGATGAACACTTCTCGGATTTAATTTCCTCATTCTTCGTATTTATTTTCCGTTCTCTATACGTACAGTAACCTCCCGTAACGCGGACGCGTGTACCTGTGTATACAATTTAGCTGTGGCTGTATTAGAAATAATCACAAAATCGTGGCAAACAAATTGAGTCATCCGAGGGTTGAGTCCATTATGCAATTCATTACACACCCTCCTGCAATTATTACGCGTAAATAAGGGGATTCGCGTATAAGCGCGATTTCCTTTGCCCTAGAATTTCAAAGCCGTATCGTACAATTAGTGGGAGGACGCTGTACTTATTTTTATTTCTTTCAACCCTTTGAGCGGTGAAAACATACGGTTACGTGTTACTTGAGTTTCCACCCCACGATAAACCACCGCTCAAAGGTTTAATTCTCGTGACACTTCTCTCGAGGTCTCGTTACGGATTCACCGCGTTATCGACCAATCTGTGCACCCTTTTTTCCGGTCCTCTCGCACGGCACCGTTCTTTCTCTTTCTCTCTGCTCTCTCTTCCACTTTCTCTGTCTCTTTGTCTTTCTCTCACTCTTTCTCTCTCTCTTCTGTATCTTTCAAACCCCCCACCTAATCTCTCGGCATATCACGACCGACAGATGAGAATCTTTTTTATAATCCGAGAGCGCATTCGTAGATCGTAAGGCACTTGTTCGAGGTGTGACATTTTTTCTTCTGTGATTGGGGCAGCATACCACTGTTGTGACCAAACATGTATATATATAAAACGAGAAAAAAAGGAAGAGATATGTACGTCCATCGGTCATTGGGCGAGGTTACTAACGAGAAAGTATCAGACGAGGGGTCGTCATAATTTCACCCGTTTCCTCCCCTCCCGCCACCCCTTCGACCCCTGCCCGAAATACCCCAAAAATCTCCCCCTGGTCCCTCGATGATCCCGTCGCCTCTCTAAAAAAAACGCATTCTGCTTGCATGCGAATCGCCTGCATCGATTGATTTTGTACAGAATTACTAATTTGTCTTTCTTATTGTTTATGTTTGCGTTTATTGCACCGTTTACTTTCCATTCTCGGATTTGACGATGACAAAAAGGGCTGTTTTCCAGTAAGTAGGATTTACCTGCCATATTCTTTTTAGCACCTGTCCTCTGTAACAATCAAATATGTACCATATAACAGAAATACATGCGTACCCTTGAGCATTTAATCAATTGCGCACTAGAAGACCCACTCGAGGGGGCTTCAAAGTAACTTTTTACCATGTGACTTTACCGATATTGGAATTTCTCGGTATTCTTCGAAATTAGCGCACGTAGGCGTTTGAAACATTAAACGAATGCTCAGCTGGAGGAGAGGGATTGCTTGTTAATCGTAAGAACTTTATTTAATTACTCGATACATATGAAAGAGTCAGGGACTCTTATTCTTGTTTATCACTTGAGGAAAAACTAGATGACGTTACAGCAGTTTCTTTTGTTCTTTTAATTTGGCATACGTTTGAATTTTATGGTTAACACCCGCGACCTCTGGTCCAGGTATTTGACAGTATCAGACAATTCCGTGTGCTAATTTCTAATAATTATGAGAAATCAAGAAGTTTGTTAATCTACACGGCAAAAAGTCCTCTTGGAAACCCCTCAAGTTTAACCCTTTTCCACCGTATGTCTCTGTCACTGTTTTGTTTCCGCCTACCCACATTAGTGCGCGTGTACCATGTATATGTGTCTCTTATTTTCTTTGTAAAGATTAACGTTAAGTTCCCATTCTCAACCACACACCGACTTTACTCGCCCATCTCTGTCTCTGTCTCTCTACACGACCATCTGTGTAATCTATGTGTATACCTATACATATTATATATAATATACAGTCTTTATTTCGGACTCCTGTAATTTATTTCACTTTTTTTCATATATATAAATATATATATATATATCTCTGTCTATCTCTATCTTTCTTCTCTCTCTCTCTCTGACTCTCTCTCTCTTTCTCTGTCTTTCTCTCTTTTGAACCATTCCGTTCGCCAGAGTTTCGTAGGTATCCATCCAACCACATGGTCATAACCGACTGCGCATATACTTGCACTACTTTTCTCCCAAAACCCCCCCAGACATCGTATATACGTATATACATATACATAGTGTATACATAATATATACACAAGGTATTCGCACCGCCATTATGTACCAGCGACTACTCCGACACTGCCTGTGAGCGCCTTGCCCGAGGGAGCGATCAAGAATTTCCGCACGTCTTTTGTTACTAATGAACCCATTTCCATGTTGCAGAAGATCTCGATCACTAGTGTCGCGTTACAAGAGGCGAGCGCGTCGCGCTATTTGCGGATACCTACCGGACTCTTCGACTGCTCGCGGCGTTTCTTTACGCTCATTAGTTTCCTCTTCTCTCTGGCTCTCCACGTTTATCTGTTTCTCCCAGTTCTCGCGACGCGACCGGTCGCGACCTTCTCGAGCCCCGCGACTTCTTCGTCCTTTCGGTGCTCTCCACATTTCCCAACACGTACGGATAACGTCGATTCGAGGTTCGTCATGTTGGTCGTTAGATCAAAAGCAAGACCTTCCTCGAGTCGACGGCTCCTCGTGTTCGGAAATCAACGCCCTCTTTTCCTCGGGACGGCTGCATTAGTTTCCTAAAACGTAACCCGAGGTATTATTCCGGGACTTGATTTACACGTTAGTCGTTACTTAAACATATTTCGACGGGAATTTATTACGTGGTTTTTGTTCAACGGGAGTAGGAAGAAGAAATAACTCGCAGTCGATAACGTGTATTTGTCTTGAATCAGAATATGCGGTTTCACTAGTTGATGCCTTATTAGCGAGGAGAAACAAAACTGTGATCAATGCTCGTTGTTTAGGGACCTTTCGGGGAATAAAAGGAAAATAGTTAATCCGATCCATACCGATTTGCAGTATCCTTGCATTCGAGTCTTCCGTAGAAATAGTCTCGGTCCAACTGCAACTTATGAGTGTACTTGTCGCAAGCCTCGACCGACCAGCGGACACCTTAAAAGAATCGCTAGATTTCTTAAATATCTCCAAGAACTTATGCAGCCGCCTCCGCCTGTCTATCGGGTCTCTTATCGATGCCTTTCCACGAGTCGAGCGAACGAATCCATAAAACTAGAGAATTATAAGGAATAAATTAAAATCGCCCACGATTCCGACGAATCAGCGGCCGGCGCGGTTCCTCCGTTTCCTCGCGTTCGTTAGAAAATGTCGCGCGATCACTCATTCTTTCTCTATCTCTCTCTCTCTCTATCTCTCTCTTTCACTCTCTATCTTTCTTTCTCTCAGTCTCTCGTCTCTTCTGAATCGCTCATATGTCTTCGTTTAAACGAAGCTCGTCCCGACGAATGACCCTTGTGAGTTGACGGCCCATGTTTTGCCAATAGCGAGACGGGTTTCGCCTGACAGTACGGGCCTCCGACAGAGGGACACCACCCTTGTCCGCAGACGTGGACGTTGAGTTAGTCGTCGTAGACAGAAACAATAAACCACCTGTGTGGAATGGGAATGTATACAGCCCCATTCACATCAAAGAAAATGTCACAGTGGGTACTGTAGTGACGACGGTGAAAGCCAGGTTTGTATGCCACGGAACATGACACGACGTAGAGGGCGCGAGTCGTCGTGTCGCGGGGCGACGGTGGTGCCGCGCGACACGAAACACGGCGGCGCGCGTCCGACTAGGTCCGCTCTACACGGCCGAGTTTATCCTCTCGTTTCTCACCCGGCTTCCAAAATGCACGGTCGAGTTTAAGGTAATATATGAATCTCTGTGGCCGCTTTTCGCGGATGTTGCCATTCTGTAGGGGCGATCGGTACGAACGAGTAAACGGCCCGGGCAAGGGTCCGCCATGTCGGTTCCTCGAGATGGGTAGATCGGCGGACCGAAACGATGTCGCAATTTATGAATACGTTTAACTCGTCGAGAAGTTACGGGACGTTGGGTGGATGAGTTTGAGAAGCCGTGAGACACGAGCGGTCAAACTCAGTGGTCTAAAGGGGGCCGAGAGAAGCGTTGCATCGCGCGACGATCCCCGACTCGCCATCGATCGACTGACCTAACCTCACTCTTTCTCTCTCTTTGTCTCTGTTCTATCTCTGTAAGACTCTCGATCTGTTTCTCTCTCTCTCTCTCTCTCTCTCTCTCTCTCTGTCTCTATCTCGATCTGTTTTTCTCACTTACTCTCTGTCTATCTTTCTCTCTCTCTCTCCGAACAACCTCTCATGTCACGAGACATCACGAGTTGCGCACCGAGACTCCTGGTAGGGCGAGTCGCGCGCGCGACATGGCGTCGTTCAGGGAGGGCGCGCATGCGCGCGCGCGCGCGACTCCCCGGATGAATACGTATTCGTAAATACTTAATACTTAATATACTAATCTATATATACCGATATACTTACCTTACTTATACCTACTTATACCTATACTCTATCACACGTGTCATGAATCATATATACGATAACCCGTCTCCACCGACGCGCAACGCGCGTGCCACGGCGACGTGTGCCTGCTACGACACAGAGTCTCTCCCTGCAGATATATCTAGATATATATTATTTATATAGATATATATACACCACGGACGAGATGCCACAAGTATATATCGTATACCAGTACCAATGTATACCACTTGCCACCGACGAGAGCGATGAGATTGGCTCGACGAGCACACGAACCGCGCGCCGCTTGCGTCCCCTGTAGGGCGCCGCGCATGCGCCGGACGCCGAGCGGCCGCCATCTTGCGGGGCCCGGACTCGCGCAGCGCGCGAGTGCGACTTATTCACAGGCGGCGAGAGAGAGACGCCCACGTAGAGGCGCGGATTCGAGCCGATCCTAGCCGATTCCAGCCGATCCCAGCCGATTCGGGCTGGCGCCCGACTCGTCGCCGCCACGTTTGCCTCCCCGCCGACCCACGAAATTCACCCGAGAAACCCGTCCGAGGGCTGTGTCGGGCCGAAAGAGCGAAACGCACCCGCGGCCGCGTCTAACGGGCACCACGGGTGCCGGCGCGGCCGCCCGGGGAAACGCAAACGAAGTTCGTTGCGACAGCCCGGAGAAGGCAATATATAAGGGAAAACGAGTGGAGATGCCCGAAGCTAACTCTACCCTACTGACTCTCTCTATATATCTACCCCCGCCCGCCCCCGCCCTCCTCGAGGACTGCCACGAGCACGTGATGTACTAACGCCATCTTTGTTCTTTTCTTTTCCCGTTTGTTAACGTGTCACACACTGGCGTAGCGCGAGACATACAAGCTGGAGGCAATGGCCCAAGACAAGGGCTCCTCGCCCCTGTCGCGAGCGGTGGAGGTTCAGATTGACGTTGTGGACCGTGCTAATAATCCGCCCATATGGGACCACGTAGCGTATGGCCCGGTCTACTGTAAAGAGAACATAGCCGTTGGGGCTAGAGTTCTGTCTGTTAAAGCCAGGTCTGTCACACTGTTAATGCTCCGTGCGGCTGCACGAACCCGCCCTGCACGCAAATCTCGTGGCAATATTGTTCTTCTGCACGTTATTGATATTGTGTACGAATAACCACACCGACTGCATATTTACTGCCAGATATAATGTGTATTTGACATGACACCCCCACGCGGGGACCGCGTCTTACCGATACGAGGCACACCTCATACCTACCCGTACTTACGGACGTACCCACACGGAACACACCATACGCACACCCACGAGCATGCATACGTGCACTGTACAAGATTCCGGGGATCGCGATTTTCCGAATTGGCTACGCGAGACGTCGAAATGTACCTCTGGCGGAAGTCGCGTGTCCTGATCGATGGACCACTTTTGCTGGGGAGGTTTTTCTCCAGTGTGGGTGGTTCACCTGGGAGACTCATCGGTGTGGGGCACCACGCCACCAGGCTCGTGGTACCACGTTAGACTCGGCTTGGTATCCCGACACGGTAGCAAAGGTATCGTCGGCTTCTTTGGTACGCCCAAAGGAGATAAACGCCGTCTTGGGGTGGTGCCCTGTTTCGTTAAACTCGACGATTAGGGGTAGACTTAGATGGTAGATGTTGAATCGACGGGTCAATTGGACCTGATCTGTTGGTCGAAGCATGCGAGTCCATTTACTGACTTTGGAGGGAGTTTTATACAGTGCACCCACACATAGCAAACACGCAGGAGCGCACTGGACGGACCTAAGACGGATACACCACTCAATGCACGTCTTTCTCGGTGTGTGGCTGTTCACGAAGACCCGCCTCGTTGTTCTTCACCCAACTCTTTCGAGAGATCGTACGTCGGGGCTTCCTAGCGTCGATTCTCAGGAGGTCGTCCCTTAGATCGGACGAACGTGGAATTCTCCCCCTTTTTAAGACGCCGCGCGACACTTGCGACGGAGTTTGTCTCTGTCTCTCTGTCTCTTAACTCTCTAACTCTGTCTAAGACTTTCCTCTGTCTATGTATCGCCCTTTATTTCGAGCTCTACTTCTCTCTCGTGTCTCAGTCTCGAATCGCGCGTCGAAGCCTTTCTCGCACGATCCACATCGCGATCGGCGAGCCCTTTGATCTCAGTGCAAGACAGGATCGGTGATGACACCGTGGCGAAAAGAAGTTGAACGATGAAGTCCAGTTTTGCTTTGGAAATGGTACTGCTACGATTTGACACTAGTTTTATAGATATTTTGCGGTGACAGGGATATGTTAAGAGACCCTGTAAGGTCTTGGACGAGTTCATGAGTCTCGATTGAGCGCTACGTTTCTGTATCCCATTAATAAATTCCAAGGGTACATTGTTTTGAGCTGCGATAATGATATGGAAATTTTGAAATATCACTCGTCAGATATCAAAGAAAAATGTTGAGGATGAGATTCATTTGTTTGGCTGTAGAGGGAACAATTTACCTGCGTACTTTACGCGGTAAGAAATATAGGACTTCCATTTTGAACGAGATGATATCTGCTATCACTTTGAGCTCAAAGGATATAATCGATATGTTTGAAGAGTATTTCTGTTATTAGAACGCGGAAGACATTGTAATGGTGATTTAAAATGCAATGTCCCTTTTTGAATTCAGATTAAGTTGAAGAGACTTCGTTTCCTCCACACTGGTGTCATCACCTTATGATCTCGGGTGAACGACAGGGCGTGTACATTGGACGGTAAAAGAAACCTCGAAGTGTCTTCGGATCTAATTTTGGTTTTTTAGTGACCTCTGATTTTTTGATCCTTTGAAAATTCTTATCTTTTGTCTAAATAGTTGGAGTACTCATCAGTTAACAAGGCGATCGGTAACTTAATGACCATGTGGATTCATTGATTTTCTTATCAATTGCCAGTAGTCGATATTTTGGAAGAATATTAAAGAATATTATTAAAGTAATAAAAACCCGTGTATCACGATCAACCGACACTTCGAGTCAGTTTCTTCATACAGACAAAATACCTCGAAGTCATACTTGCATACACGGAGGAAAGAGGGAAAAATGCGTGGCACTTGTCGCGGAATTTTCCGAGAGCAAGGGAAAAAGCGTTTCTAGAAGAGAAATGGTGTCTCGATAAATCGATAATTATTAATATAAAATATAAATGATACTTTGTTTCATTAGTTTCTTGGAGCTGCTACTTTATATATTTATTAATGATGCGTCCTAAACAAGTGTTGGGCAAAAAAATATTCCTGGAAATTTTCTGTTTTTCACATTGTTTCATTACTTTGATATTAAATCGGCAAGCAATATTATGCTATATAATAGCGAAAGATAAATGTAAACGTTTACCTCGATAACCAAGGGATATTCATCAATTCGTAATGTTATTATTATATAATTAGCTATTTTTTGTTCATACACAATACACAAGTTTCGTATTAACTAATATTACAATAATTTTGCATCGTATCCGACCGCTGTTTGTACAAAACAGGAAACGGGAAAACAATGAAATCCGACCCACCCTTCACCAGGAGGGTTTCGCCCTGAGGCCGGTGCCACGCGTTTCCCTCGACAGGTGTACACGAAATCCAAAGTCGAGAAACACGAGGTTTTCGAAAAAGGTGAAATTCCCTTCAAGAGCCCACCCGAGCTCGATTAATCGCGACTCGTTGCGATACCGCAGATCAAAGCACGACGCCGCGGGCCCCGAGTGCAGACCGCACTTAAAAAAAATAAAAAAAAATAAAAAAACCCCAAAAAGTATGCGAAAAAAGAAGGGAAAGAAATCGATGCCAAAAAGAAAGCGATAGATAAATGCGAAGAGAAAGAACCACGACGAAAGAAACGAACGAACCGCTCGAAGAGAGAGCCCTTTCGCGTTCCTCCCAGCATCCAAAAAGAACGCGCGATTCTCTCTCCTGCACTCTGAGAGTTTCTCGCCCCGTCGACAGTACAAAGCCGTATTTCATGAATATGCATAAGTTAGTTTAGGTATGTGCCGTAAGAGTCTTTTGGGCATGCTTCGACATAGATGCTTTACTGGAACCCGTATTTATTTTTCTGTAATGATTGGCATCTCTCTCTCGCGACTCGACGCGCCGCAAAAGGAAATAGAAAAGAGTACATGAACGAAACGCATCGTCCACGATGCCGCGCGTTCGGCCGTTTTTCCGTTTTCCC